GGCCAGTTCGGGTCTCTGCTTTGTGTGACTCGGGGCCAAAGGGAGAGTTCGGGCTCCTCGTAGGGAGTTCGAGCTCTAAGTAGGGAGTTCGGGCCGTTGGTTTCTCCCTTTTGGTATTTTGTACCCTCGGTATGTTGTTTTAAGTGCCGAGCTGCTTGTTTTTTACCACATGGCGTGATTTGCGAGGTCGGGCCAAATCTTCCTTCATCTACCCAAAAAAAAACATAAGTTTTGAAATAAAACGTCCAATGCACGGATTCAGAAGTTAAAAAAAAAAGAGATCAAAAGCATTAAAATTTTATTAAAAATATATAGATATTGACACTCAACAATGAATCAAACATACATTTACATTAAAATATGATTGACTTTTCAATGCAAAGTCTAATACAAAAACGTTTTAAGCACGAATTCATTTTATTTTTAGCTTATCTTCTGTTCTATGTCTAGCCAGTGTTTTTTCCGTGTGCTGGTGTGCGCGGAATTACAGACCATACCAGTGCCATCCCCCCAATCATCCGGGTGTTTGAATAATTGCTTCTATAAAAAATGGCTTTGCTTTTGTGGATGCGGATGATATACTATTGCCAAAAGAGAAGTTGCCGAGGGATTCTCAAAAGGTTCACCAAGACAAAGAAAGGCTTCAAGGGAACATTTGTGATGGGATCTAAAAGGTTGACCTTTTCTTTGTGGAAGATAAGTTTGAATAACATGTTGCGTAGAAAATATGCCAACATCCATTAACGCAGCCTTAATCACATATACGTGCGCGCACAGAACCTTTACAGTGGTTGGTGTCATGAGCATCAGCACCACATGATTTGTCTTTCGGTTTAGGCATTTCAGCAACAGTTGTGCACGCAGAAATGGGCTGCGCACATTGGAAACCTCTCTGGATTGCCACTAACATGAGTAGGAATAAGTGGGATATTCCTTTGCACGATTGACAATGATGTTTGACTGTATGATATCCATTTGTCCTGCACTAACCTTTCATCTTAAATGTTAGCAACTCCAAAATCATTAGTTAATGTCTTCCAACAAGAAAAAAATCCAAAACCCATCACTTACTAGGTCCCATCCATGATTCTTCTTATCATCAGTGCTTTTTGGTGATCCATAACCAATTAACCATAACCATCTGATCTGTCAACCTGCTTGCCTTCTTACCTCTTACCCATTTGATGGGTCTGGGCCTCTGGGGAACCTTAACTTGCCACCTGTACTAGTTAAGGCAAGTCATCGTTGAATTACAAAAGAAACCTTAACCATTTCTCCATCATCCAATCAAATCCATAAAAGAGGGTAGCTATAAATCTATAATGCACAATACGTGATGACCCATCTACTCTGCGTTAAAAGGCTTTGATGGATCCAGGATAAAAATACTTCTTTTGATCAAATCAGTATCTATGGTCTATAGATGATTTCACGACCATGTGCTTCTGAACTTTACCTTTTACCACTTTATGACCTGTCACTCACTTTTGTCCTCTGCATCTTTTTTCCTCTCCTTCCCACTTCCCAGGCCTTAGAGCACACACAGAGACTCAATTCAAAGCCTCAAGGGCTCAAACACTAATTCTCACTCTCTACTCCCAAGTCCCACCCTCTCTCTCTCTCTCTCCCTCACACAAACACAGGCTTTTTCTGTAAACGAGGACAGAGCATTCACCCGATGAGCCAGGATCCTTGGCTCGAGGACATTCCAGCTGAGCCAAGCCCGACCTGGAACACATGGTCAATCAGCCCAAGCCAAGCTGGGCAAGGCTCAGCTCATCAGCCCTCGTTGACATCTCCAACAACCTCCACCCCCACCATGAACATCAGCATTGAAGATCTTGAGTGCCATTCGAACGACCATCAGACCTACCTTGTCACCTTCTTCAATGACCAAATCCATACCACCCTCACCCACGTACCCTCCACTGTTGAAGGTTGGATCACTGATGTTCAACGCACCCACCAAGCCAACCTCACCCATTTCATTGTCGGGCTCGACGTCGAATGGCGACCAAGCTTCAATCGCACCATCGAGAACAAGGTGGCCATCTTACAGCTCTGCGTCGATCGCAAGTGTTTGATATTTCAACTCCTTTACGCGGATCACATACCCATGTCTCTCATTGATTTTCTCAACAACCCCAACTTCAGTTTTGTCGGGGTGGGCATCAATGAAGATGTCGAGAAGCTTTTAGAGGATTACGAGATTAATGTCTCCAATACTGTTGATCTTCGAGGGTTAGCCGTGAAGAAGTTGGGTAAACCAGAGCTGAAGAACTCTGGGTTAAAAGATTTGACCAGGGAGGTTCTTGGAAAAGAAATGGAGAAGCCAAGAAGGGTTACCATGAGTAGGTGGGATACGGAGTGGCTCAGTTATGATCAAGTGCAGTATGCTTGTCTTGATGCTTTTCTTTCCTCTGAGATCGGAAGAAACTTGATTTTGAAGAATTGAGAGGTTCACTGTGGAGCATGAAGATCTGGGTTTTTGTTTTTTACTTGAATTGGAAGATCTGCTTTGTGGGGTATACTGGATTGAACCACTGGAACATGATTTGCGTTTTGTTTTTCCTGGGTATATTTGGTGGTGTATACTAGGTTGAACCACTGGAACATGATCTGGGTTTTTGTTTTTCTTGGATTGGGGCATATATGTGATTATGTGGTGGTGTATACACGGTTGAATCACTGGAACATGATTTGAGTTTTTGTATTTCTTGGATTTGAACTTATTTTTGTGTTTTGAGCTATTGTTATGGTCTAGCTAAAATCCGTATTGATTTTCCCTTTGTTTTAAACCTTTTAATGAGATGAATCTTCTGCTCTTCTTTTAATTAATGGTGTTTGGCAGCCTTAGTATGGATCCATGTTGTTGAGCTTCAAAATAGAATAAAGTTGAACCAAATTTTAATTTTTAACAGTTATTACTTTGGATTATTGGATCAAGTTCCCAATGGCTCTGTTTGAACCTTGGAAATATTCAGAATACATTTCTGACTTCAAATTGAAGTTTTAATGGCTTTGTTGATTGAGACTCATAATAGGTCTAAGATGAAGCAGATTTTAACAGTGGTTATTTTGGAACAAGATTCCTAATGGATTCATGTAAACAGCCATCCTATTTCTGCTTTGTCAAGTGATCATCCCTCCCATCTAGACTGCTGAAATTTGTCTCTTTGCAGAAAGTGAAGAAGATAATGCATGTTTGGCTCCTATCATGTCAACAAGCAACCTCTTTAGTGAACCCTCCTTGATCCGCAGCAGGCCTGAGCATGTCTGCTTGAGACCCTGAACCGGCCTGGTTGTTGCTCAGGTGCCTGTTGAAGCAATCCCTGAACCGGCCTGAATCTCTGATACTCATCTCATCAACTGGGCAAATGGGTGCCTGTTGAAGCAGTCCCCTAGGCTGGCATTGGGTTATTTCCCACAGTTCAAACAAACAGACTATTAAAATTCATGGGTGTGATCATCTGTTGACTTGATTTTGAGCATAAACAACCTCTATGTGGCAACCATTCAGTGGCTTGTCTGCATTTTCTGTATTAAAAAACGTGTTAGTATTTCATTTACAACTTTCCTATGGATTCTCATTTGATGCTACCTCCACCAAAGAAAGAACAAAAATGGAGGAAAAGTCTTCCACTTGATATACGAATTCCATGTTCTCACACCTGTTCATGCTTCCAAACCATGGATAAAGACACCTTGGACTCTGGGTAACATCCATAGAAAACAGTAATTTGTTGTGTGAAGACTGGAGTGAAGGCGACTACTTTATTCTTAATTACTTTTGTCCTCTTTCATCTTAGATGTTAAAATTAAAAACAATTATTTTACTACTGAAAATATGTTGGGTTTGGAATCTACTTGGGAGTTGGGGCCTAATGGGCAAAAACAATTCGTTCAATGAATTGGGGTTGTGCATGCGTACAAGCATGAATTGTTTCTGCTTTCCACCAGGGGACAGAGGCATCTGAATGGACCAAAACCCTAAACTGTAGTCTATAGATTTTTCTTTAGGCTAAGCACCTGAACCCTAAACTGTAGTCTGTCAGAGTCCACGGTTTATTGAGTCCCAGCGAGGCGGCCAGGAGATTTCCTGCACCAGGGTTTTCAAACGTCAGACAAATGGAACCAAATAATTCTTCAATACTCATTTACATTCTGTTTTGCTGGAACCTTTACATTGTGGAGTCCAGATCTCCCTGAACAATTCCTTCTACACAACTTTCTCTACATCCAAACATATTATGATACATCAACATCATACATTATGAGTATTGCACATGTGTGAACAATTTAATAGATGTTTAAAGATGTTCGTTTCATTTACTTAATTTAGAAATTTAGTCATAAAAAAAGAAATTTGACCATCCAGCCAGCCGTGAAAAATAAATTTGGTTGATGATAACAAGAGTCAACTTCTTCATGTTTTCACTGACAAACCCTTTATCTTCACCAGCACCACGGTTTTTGTTCCCTACCAAAAAGGTGACATAAAATTCTTTTCAATGAGACATATTGTGATTTCAATTTCGAATTCAACCACTCCATGTAATCTAGTGAAACATGAAATTGATCCCTTTTAAAAGATTTATTAAGTAGGTGTTCTCTGTTCTACTAGGCTGCCACCACCCACCGTTCTATTCACCATTACGGCTTTCTATGAATTTCTACAACCCCACAACACATGATTGGTGAACTGGAGGAATATCAAATCCTCATTCCATTTTATTTCCCAAAACCACTGTTCCACCACCATAAACTTTTTGATATTTTCAAACAAACATAAAAAAATAAAATAAAAATAACCATCTTAATTTGCATTTTAAAAATAAAAAGAAGAAAAGATAATAACTTTGTAGAAAGAACAAATAGTTCAATATCGATCTCACTATCAAATCACAATGCTTGTACATTAACAATTTGATACTCCCAAGTTCTTTTTCCATTGTGTGAAATTGTAGATCTATAAGTCTAATCTAATTATTATTTATGAGTTTTGTTTCTATCTCCGTAAAAAAAGCGGTGACATATGAGAGACCAATTGAGAAAAATAAAAGGAAGTCTTCAACCAGATGGAGTTGGACGAGGATAAATTGTTCCTCCTATGGCACCATTACCCGATGGAGGAGAGGTAATAACTATCGAAACTAGTGGTATCGGTGGAGTAGATGGTGGTACCAATGGAGGCATGGAGGGAATTGGGAAAAAAGACGGGATTTATGGAACTCCTCACCCTCGTGTCTCTTCTGGGTAAATGATAAATCTGTTTAGACCATGGTTTTTAAAAATAAACTAGAAACAGAACCAGTCAAGGGACCGGTTTCCAGTTAAGCAGTTCAATCGTTTAGGTCGAACGGTTCGACCCGTGATGTCATAAATAAATTAAAATAAAAGATATATTTATAAATAATAAAAAGTAGCATAAAATTAAATAAGAAACAGAAAATAAAACTATCTAAATAAAAATAATACAGTACCAAACACAAAGAAAATATAAAAATAAAATACAGAAAAAACACAAATAAAAATTCAAAAAATACAAAATAAAACAGAAAATTGCAACAGATACAGAAAACAAAAACAGAAAATTGCAAATAAATACAAAAAATACAGAAAAATAAAACAGAAAATTGCAAAAAAAAGAAAAATAAAACAAAAATAAAGTGCAGATAAATACAGAAAATTGCAAAAAATATACAGAAAAAACATAGAAACAAAAACAGAAAAGTAAAACAAAAAAAGTGTAGATAAATACAGAAAAAATGCAGAAATTTGCAAATAAATACAGAAAAAAAACACAAACAAAAACAGCTAATAAATTTTCAGTGCACATCTAACATGAACTTTCCATGTTCTAATTTAACAAGCATGCCAAAGTAGATGAAAGATTCTACCCACACCAAAAAGTTATTGAAGCAATTGCATGATATTTATGTGCGCAATTTAACCATATGCTAAGATACTTAAATTTTCTAGGCATGTAATGAAGTGCAAAGAACAGGTGTAATAACTTTCTTCCCCCTCTTATCTCTTTCATCTACCCGTCAGGCCCTCATACGTTTGTAATAAATTATTTAAGTGCTTATAATTTAATAATGGATATGATACTGATCACACAGAATTGTGAAAGAGGATTCATGTAGCCAATCCCATGTAGTCGGGATAAGGCTTGGATGATGATGATGATATGATACCGAACACGATGGAATGGCAAAACAAGATTCATGTAGCCTACTACATATAGTTGGGACAAGTCTTAAACAATCATATGGCATTGAACAAGACAGAGTGGTATAACACAATTAATATAACCTAAGGGCATAGCCTTTGCTTAAAGGGAAGCAAGAAGCCTAATCTCTGTTCAGTGTGTAGTTGCTAGATGGTTCAAAGTTCCATATATAACGAGTCTAGTAGGTGATGGTGATGGTGTGAATCACATATCTTTAAGTTTTCTCCTTTATAATGAGAATAAGAACAGAGCGTTGCTCACGTGACACAGAAGTAGGATTTGATTATGATGAGACACTACTGATACCATAAACCTTGATTAATCCAGTCCTGAAAGCTATGGCTATTAATAGGGGTGTTCATGAAAAATCGAAAAATTGAAAAACTCAATAGAAATCGGAAAATCTGAACTGAAAAATCCAGTTAACTGAACCGATCAGCCAATATAAAAGAAACCGAAAATTCCACTTTCACAAATTTCTTAGCAGAATTGCCAACTTAATTGGACAAACTTGCCGTCTTGTCACAAGTGACTCCTTCACCGTGCCATCAAGCACCTATCGTCGTGCCACCAGAGTGCCTACAACGTGCCTTTTTAGTGTCATCCATCATGTATATCATGGGTGGGATATGTATGTATCTTGTAAGGGGAGACCGCCAATGGCGTTATTGTAATTACCTAGTATAATTTTCCACTCTTTTGGTGTTTTTCTTATGTCACTCCCCCAAAAGCTTAACGTACTCTTTGAGGAGAGGTAGGTAGTCGAGTGAGCTCATAAGCGTGTAAAGGTTAAGCACGAGATCCCCTCGACACGGTACTGTGTGCTTGTGCTTACCACTGATTAATGCAATACAAGTTGCCTTTTGTCTAATTTGTGTGCCTTCTTGTTGCCTTTTGTGTGTTGTTGCTTGTATTTGTAGGTTTTCTCGACCCCATCGAGCGTCGCACGAGGCCTCATCGATTAGCCCGTGACAGTCTGCCACTGTAAACTTAGTCGCAAGCAAGCTCGCCCACCCGCTGCTGCAAACTTGCCAAACAGCCGCTGCAAGCTTGCCATCCGCCGCAAGGCCCACAATTCTTACTAGTGCCTGCAAGTGCTGCTCGCTACCTGCAAGCTCACCGTCGCCGGTCGTTGTCGGACGCTGGAGGTGCTGGCCGCCGCAGGTGGTCGGTTGGGTGTGAGGGTTGAGAGGAGGGAACTCAGGAAGGGTTGGAATGAAAATGGATTCCAACCCTAAAACTAAAGGGACTAAACATTGGAATTGGGTTGGGGATATAGAAGGTATTTTATTTTTTGTTTTTTTATTTATAACATTGAAAATAAAAAGAGTAACCCACGAACCACTGCCTGGGTCGAATAGTTTAGTAGTTCGATCGCCCCGGTCAACGGTTTTCTGACCTTTTCAACGGTTTTTAAAAATTTTCGGTTTTAGTAAAACCGGACCCAAGGGCTGACCGGTTACTGGTTTTTCCGGTCCAACCGTACAGTCCAATCCGATTTTGAAAACCATGGTTTAGACTGTTCTGTCTTTGTATTTTGTTTAATTTTTTTAATGTTTAATAGAAGGGTATTTGACGTCTGTATAGGGGATCCGGACTGTAC